GGGGGGGGGGCTGAATCTGGCAAAGTGGGGGGAATGGGAGGGGAGAGCGAAATATATAGGTGGTCTGTGGATAGAGAGGGCCGCGCGGGGGAAAGACCTAAAATCAAAATGCTTCGTTTCCAAGTCATGAGTTGGTGCCAGACCATTCTTTTATAACTCGCAACAGTTCCTCAAGCCACCCGCTCGCATTCTCTCCCTCTCTCCCCACTGCGCACACAAGCCCATAAGGCAACATGTGCTGGCAGGCACTCTAAGAAGCGCAGGTGCAATTGTTTGTATGTACCATATCTACCACCCAAACCCAATATGTGAGCGCGCAAAAGCACCAATTTGAGGCTTGAACCGGGAGAGCGCAGGTTATCATAGGTTACCCTCTTACAGGCAGGCGCAAGATACGTAGCCTGATTTGACTGGTGTTATTCGCTTGCTGTTCGACACATTGATTGATTTACCAATCGCGGAAAAACTTGTTGTTTCGGCAGAAGAAGCGCATTCATTCGCTTGCTTGCTACTCTTACAGTAGCTAGGCTGCGGCCTTAAGCTTTCAGTGCTTAAGGGATGATCGGTGGTCTTAAGGCAGCAGTCCCGCACTGATCCCCACCTTTGATAATATACCATACCGGCACCGATAGAGCTCGCCCGCACTGGATTCGTCCCTTCATGTTAATAAGTGTCCTCAACCCACTGGAACTGCTGGCCATAATACTCGTGGGCATGAAACGCTTGATCGGCCAAGTCATCCCTCGATCACCCTTGAAAACCCTAACCCTGCATTCATGTAAGAACCCTGCCTTTTGATCCTGAGCTCCAAACCTCTTTCTCACACTCGTCCGCTCGCTTGCCCAAAACGCCCCTTCCGGCCACCGTCATACTGTAAATAGAATATGACAGCGTGGGAGAGGGGTCAACGAACAGGGGGGGCTCGACGAACGGACCAAACAGAATCGTCGTAATTATTTCTTGAGCCCTCCGATTGTCTCTGATGTCCCGGCCAGCTGAAACCCATTTCGAGTGATCCTTCATGAACCCCATCCACTCCTCATCCGTCCCGCAAAAAGTAATAAAAGATGCTCATCTTTGTTCAGACCTGCGCACGCGCTACCAGAGCTGTGATCGAGAACTCGAGTGCCAGTACTGTGCGCTGCGGTGTGCTGCCCGGCAATCTCAATGTGGTACTGTACACATCCTCGCCTCAACTCCTGACCCCGGTACAGTACGCTCGCGCAAGCGGGGTGAAGTGTACTAGTACTGTACTTGTACCATAACCCTGTATCAGATTTTGCGGTTCCTGATTTTGTTTTTTTTTCCCCTTTTCTTTTTCCATTTCCTTGGTAGCCTCACGAATCTCCGGTAGGCTAAGCTACGGTACTGTACTCGTACTCGAGTACTGTACTCCGTTGCGTTGAATCCTGCTATTGTGCCCATAACCTACGTGTATTGTACTAGAGTACAGTACGAGTTGATGGTGGCGGGGTAAGGCATCATACCTTATGTATCTGCACCCCTCATTTCGGCCTCGCAGTGAGCGAGTGGTGAAAGATCCCCGGTTTGGATGTCCCACGGTATCATATATTTCCCCTTCGCTTTCAGCTTGCTGTGTATGCTCTGGTGGCGGGTGGGGTGCCCTTTGGGTTGTTGCCTGACGACTAATTACAGTAAGCGCGAGTTGTGTACTGCACAATGGCTGCTGTAAGGCAGTGTGGCGGTGAGTCGGGAGGCTCTCAGGAAATGAAAGGATGACTACTATTTGAGGGGTGAAAGTTTAAAGGTTCACTATGATACTAGTACTCAAAAAAGGTATCACCATTTCTGTGCCCTTACCATCGTCATCCCTATCGGCTCTTTAACACGGTCTATTACAGAGGGCATGACGGCCTTGTGATCCTACGTTAGGATTCCGAAACCCTTACACATGGGTTGTCATGGACACCGCACTCGTACACCCCACAGTGGATTAGAGGTATCATACTGTACCCGTACTGGCGACATCACGGAATTAATAATAAGGTAAGCACAGCAGAGCTACGGTGGTACTTGAGGCCTAATACGAGAGTTGTGAGTGAAGCCATCGGATATCCGAATATCAACGCTGAGCACCAGCTATTAATAGTACCAATAGGGAGGATGGTATTTTGCAAGCACTGCGCTATGCTGATTTGTCATTTCAAAACTATGATACCCCACCCCCCCCCCCCCCAACCCCCCCGCCTAAACCCCAAAAATTCCACCCCCCCATTGCCCCTCCGCTTGTCTTCCTTGCTTCACCTCCCCTTGCTTCCAATTTTCAGCGTGGTTCTTTATTAGGTCGGTTCTTTGCTCTTTGAAGAGTATTTCATAAATACCCCTATGAGCAGACTCCAATGCTCCAACAATCCAAGCGTGATGTGTGCTGGTCGCCTCGCCAACGAAATGAAGATTTCCCTTCGCCGCTGGCTTTGTAAGCTCAGGATACATATTACTGAATTGTCCCGGGCCGAAGAGGGCAAATGCTACTGCTGTCAGAATTCTATCACGATGAAAGGCGATGGAGTCCTTACCACCCATGGTATACTGATCATGGTACCAATCGTACGCATGGTAATCTACCGTCTGGTCTTTATACCACTGTGGATCCTCACCGTGAATCTCGGCGAGATCCTTATAAATGATGTCCAAGAGTAAATTCTCTTCATCTGTTCCTTTCCCTTTTATTAGAGAACCCAATCTCAATGCATCCTGTGTCCAGCAATAACTAGCGATCAAGACTCCATTGGCATCCTGCGGATCATCAAATCCATAACTTGGATAAACCACAACTCGGCTGGGTCTGTCGGTAGAACTAGTACCGCCTAGGATGAAGGGGTGCGAAGCCTTTTCCCACCATCTTGTCTCGAACTTTATTCCAACCTTGATAGAAGCGCCATATCCTAGGCAGCGGAGCGCTTGCTTTTGGACGTAGTCCAATCCGGCCTGTTCCAAGTCCATTACACGCATACAGGGGAGTGGAGCAGTACAAATAACATGGGAGTATCTTTCTCGTTCCCACTCCGGGTGATCTTGGACGCTGATTTTCATATTTGGGTTGTCGGAGGCTGGATTATCCATTGCGATTGCCGTCACCCGGAGGTTATAGTGAGGTTTCGTGCGAATCATTTCGGCCATGCGGTCTGTTACTACCGAGGTTCCGCCATCGACACAGGCCCATTCCACGGTGGCATCCGGGGGATCGTTGGGGCCGAAAGGATAATCGAAGTCGAGCGAATCTATGATTGTCTATGGGGTGTCAGTTTGGTGGAGATTCGGGCTCAGCACATGTGCAATCTATACTGTACCTCGGTGAAAGCTAGGTCATAGCTTAATGTTGAAGTATCCATAGTTTCCATCCATGTAATAACGCTGAATGGGTGACCTTTGACTTGACCTAGATATGTTCGAGCCGAGTAGTTATCGAATCCCATCAGGTACTCCCACCCTTCTTCAAAATCCTCGATAAGCTTCTCTTTGAAAGGGTCGTAAGCGTCAGCTAAGAGTGCCTCAACACCCACTAATACCATTCCATTGGGCCTGGTATACGTGAACGTGAGGTATTCGTCTGGGACCTAGCAAATATCAGTCCTACCCCTGTGTAAGTCTTACTCAGAAACTGACATTCCCTCCATTGCCAACGCTATCATTATGTGGATCGGTTCCGGGATCGGGACCCCCACTAATAACCATTGTGCCTGCTAACAATTAGAAACTTTTCAGTAGACACTGACAACTAGATTTCGAACACTGACCATTGAACAACCGTCTGTTGCCTGGCGCATTCATGATGTACTCGATAATCTTTCCATCCTCTTCAAGACCTAACACCCTAAACAGTTCGAAAACAGAGTCCATAAACTTAGTCCGCGGGAATCTCATAGCACCAACATCATAATAGTTGTGAAAGTTAGGGATCTTTGGAGCATTGAAATGGTGAGTGTAGGCTCTGCCTCCATGACGGTTGGAGGCTTCGATGATTTCATACCGAACCCCGAGTATATCTAGGATCATAGCGGTATACAGTCCCGCTACTCCGGCGCCAATAATACATACCGGGAGATCTTCAATGGTAGAGCCCTGCGAGTATTTAGCCAGATCGGGGAGCTCGTCTGGTGGGAGGGCAGGTGGAGCCCCGGATGAAGGCTGGGTCTGGCAGCGCTCGATAACTTTCTTGACAAGATATCTCGCTACGAGAGATCTGAAGGAGAGGTTGTGGGGATTCTCTGCGAAAGTGGTCGCTCCGGACATCCTTGTAGTAGCACTTGGCCGGGGTGTTGTGATGGGGAATAAGTTTGAGAGAAAACTCGGAATTGAAAAGCATAGAGAGATTATCCCTTTTTAAAGATAAGAGAACTGAGTTTCTCGATTTCCATTCCATATCGTCAATGATTGACGTGTCGCATTTAGCCCTAATATGCAGATTCATCCTGGTGGTGTATCCACACGGTAATATATCATATCAGAAAGCCCAGCTCAGCACGACTATAACCCTGTTGATCGGGGGTAGCACAGCATACTCGAGTACTCGAGTATTCACAAGTTCAAGCTTCTCTGGCGGCCATATCAAGGTCTGTGAATGCAATCCTGACATAGAGCATCCGAGAAGGTCCGAAATGCCATAACAGGCGGGGGGTATCAGCTGCGCCTGTCCGGGTTCGGACAAGAGTGCATCATGAATATCACTCGTGCAACCACTTTGGCGTGTTATCGCAAGAACGGGCTTTGCTCAAAATCAGCCCCTACTTTTTCCGAGAGAGAACTGCAAGTTAACCCGACTGCCCGGGAGCGGTATTATGGCGCTGTCTATGATCCAAACTCTTTTTCTTCCTTTAGCCCTGCCTTCCTACATCGCTCCTTTATATTGCGTCCTGAAATCTTTTTGTCGGCTATGTCGTGAGCTGGATATCTTTATACAGGTACAGTACCCTTTGGGCTTGTAGGCGTCTACTGACGGTGGCGCGTTACAGGCTGGATACAGGAAATGCCGATTCTTTATATATCTCCCGCCATCAGGGGCTTTCCCCTTTGGTTTCTTTCGGGCTATCGGGGTTGTTCGGGTTAAGACTGGAAAATACTGCTCTTCCTCTAGTGCGTATATGAGCTTACTCCAACAGGTGGTGGTTCTCAGGGAGGGGTTGTTGGTGAGTTGGTTCTATATCATACGTTCGAACCAATTGTAATCCTAATCCAGGATGTCGACACTCGACACATTAGTATCATAAGATGCACGTACTATACAGGTATTAAAAGCGGGGTTTTTCTTCTTCTGCATGTGCGTGTGGACTGTACTGTCTCCGGATTACTCGTATTGTGTCCAGGGTGCAACTAATTGTAGCATGGGTGTGAGGTAGGTTCCTGGGAGGCTTGGTGGGGAGTGAGGAGGAGGAGGAGGAGGAGGATTACTGTTCGAATATGATACAGTGTGCTTAAATTAGTGACGGCGTGTCGGTGATCGTGGATTCTTGTATGGTATTTGTATTGGCGTTGTAGCCGCAGCTGTAGAAGTGTTATCCGAGTGCTTCGAATTAGGAGAATTACCGTGAATACATCATACTGTTTCTATTCCCCATCCATATGTTCTTCCTGTGCTAGGGGTTTAGTATTTTATATTCCCCTGGTACTGCCGAACCGGCATACGGCTGTGCTATGGGTACATAGTATTTCGTTTTTGGATAGAACGGATAAAGTATTGGCCCGGAAAGCGGATCAGACGTGGAAGTGAACCAGTTAAAACACACCAAAAAGGGTCTGAATTTTTTGAAAGATTTTAATTAACGCCCAAAACTAGTGATATATACGGAGGAGACTTCCCTCGGCCATGGTTCTTTAGCGGAGGTTTGAAATATAGACCTCAAGTCATCGGTGCTGCCTCCTTCGGCATCGACAAGTCTGTTAACATAGTGAATTGAAAGACCCGTTTGATCAATCAGAAGCATGGGAATAGTACTTTACAACACAAACGGGTGCGGATTTTTATTATTATGTCTTGAACTCGCAGGGCCTCTGAGACCGGTTCAAGCGTAGTGGTTCGACCCAACTTTATCAATAATTGCCCGCAGATTCTCCTAGATAGAAGAGCAATCAACATCTACTCTCCTCCAGCCGTCCGGCTGAACGAAAGGAAATTAAGTCACCGGAAAGGAATATTAGGGAATGCCAGCACTTACCCCTACCGCTAGGGGAGAACAGAAGGCGAAGAAAAGCAAGAATACGATTCCACTCACGATATGATACCGGCGAGGAAGACCAGAAAAGTACACCCGGGAAAAGATTAATCTAGACCTCAAAATGAAAAAAAACTTATTCGTCTCACATCGAGACTGTAGTCAAGAAGCTGATGTGCAAGGTTATCGAGGTGGAATTTTCATATTTGATAAGATAAAAGTTCCACGATATATGCCTTTGAGGAAGTGAGAAAGAAAAAACGGCTTAGATATCGTTTCTCTCAAAGGTAGATGCAACTTTTATTTTATTAAAATCTAATATGAAAATTCTACCTCGACAATCGTGTACATCAACTTCTTAACTATAGATTTAATGTAAAACAAATAAGTTTTCATTCATTTTGAGGTCAGTATTAGGTTTTTCTTGGCTGTAGTTTTCTGGTCTTTTTCTTGGGTTTATCATGAGTGGAGTCGTGTTCACATCATTGAAAGGCTCTTCATCCTCTCCTTCTATCACTGTAGCTGATGCTACACTACTCCAATCCGAATTAAACTCAATTGTCCAGAAGCTGTGACAGGCACTATAGGAAAACCCCATATCAAGTCAGTATTCAGGTATTGTACCACAAAGGTAAGTTAATCTTCTAGGAGTAGAAATACTTACCATTTGCCAATAAATACCTCTTTTTGCCACTAAACTGGCATGATCTCCTTGTTCAACAATCTTGCCCTCATCAAGGACGAAAATCACATCTGCTTTTTGGATTGTTGATAGTCTCTGCTCAAAAGTTTCCGAGAAATCAAAGATTATATTAGCATTTATACCACTTAATATAAAATATAGAAAGAGTAAGCAAAAGTGAAGGGATAGTATGGAGAGACAAACATGTGCTACAACAACCATGGTTCTCCCTTCAGCAGCATTTTCAAAAGCCTTTTGTACCATTTTTTCTGATTCAGTATCAAGACTTGCTGTTGCCTCATCTAAGAGGAGGAGTTTTGGGTTGCGAATTAGAGCTCGAGCAATTGCAATACGTTGCTTTTGACCACCTGAAAGACCTATACCCTTTGGGCCACATATTGTATTATAACCTATTATAGTTGTAAGTGTTTATATAATTTTAGTAGGAAATTTAGGAAAACAAACCTTCAGGCAAGGAAGATATGAAATTATGAATATAGGCCTCTTTGCATGCTTCAATTACAGCTGAGTCATCCTTGTCATCAGAGGTACCTAGTTTGATATTATATAATAGAGTCCCTACTACTATTAATATTAAAAACTTATATCTTGAGTTTCTATCAACTTACCTTGATAAAGGATTGGCTCTTGAGCAACCAGTGAGATGGAGTTGCGATAGCGTTCAATATCAAAACTTTTGATATCTTTGCCATTGATAAGAACTTTACCAGTATCAACATCATAGAATCTTTACATACCAGTTAGCTAATTTTTCCCTTTATAGGTAGAAATACTAACCTTTCCAAGATGCCAATTAGTGTTGACTTTCCACATCCTGATGTACCAACAATAGCAGCATATTGTCCCTTCTCAATCCTCAAGTTCAAACCCTCATATAATAGCTCTCCACGTTCAGGATATTTAAAGGAGATATCCTCAAATTGGATTTCATAACCACTTGCTGAATCCTCATCCATCTTATTGCCAGAATTTGGATGATTGTCTCGTAATTTAATCATGCGTCTGATGCATCTTATAGCAGTAGCAACATCTGTACCCTAGTTAGCAGCTGGTTATATTATGCTAGATATTTAACTTACTTGGAGTTAGACCAAAGAAGTTTCCTGCTGCCTCACTTCCCTGAATAACAGTCATGTAGACAATAAAAAATTGAAACATCTTATACTCTCCCTGTGCCATCAATATACCACCATACCAAAAGCATAAAGCTGTAGCTAGGATGGTAAGTGACTCTGAGGTAGAGAATAGAAGTGAGGAGTATAAAGTTCTCTTCAAGATCTGTTTAACATGGCTGCTTAACAGATCAGCATACCGACATCTGATATCCTCCTCCATTACCAGTGATGACACAGTCCTGTATGCTCCCACTGCCTCAGTAGCAAAGGCTGCACTATCACCAAAGATCATCATATTATCCTTCACAAACCCCATCTCGATCTTAACCCTGAGGTAACCAGAAATAATAAGGAGAGGTACCACACTGCAGATGCAAACTATTGCCAATTTCCAACCAAAGATTAAAGACAATATGCAGCTACCAAGTAGGGTAATAACAGACATGATGGAAAGTCCAATAGTCACCCCCAAAAGATCCTGAATGACAACTGGATCATGGCTGGTCTGAGAGGTAAGTGAACCTGGAGTGTTGCCTTTCTTATCAAAGAAGGAAATTCGTTGCCGGACAATATTATTAAAGTATTCTTGACGATAGCGGTTACCAGCTTTCTAATTTAATCTATTAGTTTATATGTTATTAGAAGCAAAGAAGGAGGAAGAGGAGGAAGTTAATACAGCAGAGATAATGTGAAACATCCAAGTCATTAACCATCGACAGACTCCAACTATAACAGCCAGAATCATGTATGCAGTACTCCAGTAATATCCTTGTTGAACAAAGGCATTCAGATCTCCAATATAGGTAAATGTACTCATAATAAGAGCAAAGAATATTGATCCTACTGGGACACAAGTACCTATTATCAAGTTAATCAAAGTTCTCAGTATGAAATAGATTTTCTTACCTGCTACAATAGCACTAATTGCTCCAAGCACAAACAGAATCCAGTACCTTTTCTGCTCCCATAAAATCTTCAGAATTGCCTTCCATCCTGACAGTTTCTTGGTCTTTTTTCCTGTATTGTGATTGGGAGAATTTGCTGTTACCTCTTCCTCAAAATTTTCAATAATTAAATCAGAAGTTTCCAACTCATTGCTCAAATTTGAGTCTTTATCCAACAGCAATGATTGAGCCTCAATCAACTTCTTGTAGGTACCTTCAGGATGGGACAAAAGTTCCTGACGTGTTCCAAATTCCACAACATTACCCGAGTCCAGAACAATAATATTATCAGCATTTCCAATAGTGGATAGTCGATGCGCAATCAGAATTGTTGTCCGTCCTTTAGAAATCTTCTCGAGAGCATTCTGGACTATCCTCTCATTTTTGGGATCAACAGCACTGGTAGCTTCATCCAAAATAAGAATTTTTGGATCTGCTATTATACTGCGTGCTATTGCAATTCGTTGCTTCTGACCTTTTATTTCATTTTAATATTAGTAAGGTGATTTCAGTTAAAAGGTTATAAGAAATACGTACCTCCTGAGAGCTTAACACCATGAGTCCCCACCTCTGTATCATATTTCTGTGTAAAGTAAAAATATTAGCTATTATACTATTCAAGATTAATTCTGAAAATAACCACTAACCTTGGGGAATTTATTGATAAATCCAACAGCATTTGCTTGCCTGCAAGCCTCAATAACCATCCTTCTCTTAATCTCCTCACTCTCATTTTCCCATTGAGTTCCCACAAGTCCCTTAGTAATATTGAAATAAATTGACCCATTAAACAGGTATGGCTCCTGAATAACAAGTCCAATTTGACTTCTCCACTTTCTCAAATTCAAATCTCTGATATCAGTATTGCTGATAGTAATACTTCCTTCTTGAGGATCATACCACCTTTCTAGGAGTGCCACAAATACTTGACTTCCCACAGCCTGACTTTCCAATAAAAGCTGTAGT